AGACCAAGAGCATTTTGAGCTTGATATTTGGTACAGACTATACCTAGATAATTTAGAGCTTGAATTTTTGTACAGACTAGACCTAGATAATTTAGAGCTTGAATTTTCGTACAGACTAGACCTAGATCAATTAGAGCTTGATATTTGGTACTGACAAGACCTAGAGCATTTAGATCTTGATAGTTGTACAGACTAGACCTAGAACATTTAGAGCTTGATATTTGGTACAGACTATACCTAGATTATTTAGAGCTTGATATTTGGTAGACTAGACCAGAGTATAGCATTTAGAGCTTGATATTTGGTAAGGACTAGACCAGAGTATAGCATTAAGAGCTTGATATTTGGTAAGGACTAGACCAGAGTATAGCATTTAGAGCTTGATGTTTGGTAAGGACTAGACCAGAGTATAGCATTAAGAGCTTGATATTTGGTAGACTAGAACTGGAGCATTTAGATCTTGATATTTGGTAAGGACTAGACCAGAGTATAGCATTTAGAGCTTGATATTTGGTAAGGACTAGACCAGAGTATAGCATTTAGAGCTTGATATTTGGTAAGGACTAGACCAGATTATAGCATTAAGAGCTTGATGTTTGGTAGACTAGAACTGGAGCATTTAGATCTTGATATTTGGTACAGACATTTTTCAATTGTTGGAAACATATGTTTTCAAGTTTTTTGTTTTGATTTATTATGTTGTTTTGTTTGTATGCTGTCTCATTGAATGTTCTCCACAACTCCTTTTATTTGCATTTATAATGGGATTTACGATTGAAATATTGTAGCATTAAACTCTTTGTAAATGCTGTAAATTTTTGTTTATTTACTTGCTCTGTTGATTGATAGCCATTGATTTTTTCAGTTTTTATGGACTTCCCCTAGTTTATTTACTTGTTCCATTAATTGATAGCCATTGATTTTTTCAGTTTTTATGGACTTCCCCTATTTGAATTTAACTTAGAGTTCGGTATTTCAGTTAAACTTTTTCATATGAAAGCACTAACTGCATTCACTTTTTACTTAAGTTTGTAAAACACTTTCAGAATCTGCAATTGTTCTTATACAGAATCTGACCCTCAAGGCATGCAGTTTCCCTAAGGCCTGTTAAAGTCATGAAAATTTCAATTGAACAGGACAATGTCACATATGTCTGGGCCTGTTGCATTTATTATTAATTTTGAGCACCATATATAATTGTAAATACACAACTTACAACAAACTTTTGGTAAAAATCTGATTATAAACGTTAACACAGAGATATCTCTCACCTTTTTGTTATTTTGATAATGCAAATGTTGAAATTAAAATTGCAATACTTTAACATGCAAGTTAGGCAAAATATTCATAGTCAAAGAATCATGACTGAAGGTACAGGCCCTGCGGGTATTTAAAAAGTTGACAGGTATGGTACAGGGCCAAACAATCTCTATGGAAATGAGATGTGACAATGCTAATACAAATCATGAATTTCATATCAAATACCATTGACTTATCATAAATCATTCCCTTTAAACAAACCTAAACACAAACATTAACTTGTAAACTATATGTAAAAGTTTCAAAGTCAATGAACCATGATGAGGGGGTGGGGCCACATAATCTCCAAAGAAATGGGACTCATTGACTTAACATAAGTGGTTATTCATAAACTGATCTAATCACAAACTAATACATGTAAACTATGCAAAACATTCAAAGTCAATAGAACATGACTGAGTGGGCTGAGCCAAATAATCTCCATGGATATGAAATGTGCAAATGTTTATACAACTGCATATCAATTATCATTAACCTACCACTAATGGTTACCCTTAAACTGACCTAATCACAAACTTATACATGTAAACTAAGCACAAGTATTAAAGTCAATAGACCATGACTGAGGGGAAGGTGTGAAATAATCTCCATGGAAATGAGATGTGCCACTGCTTATGTAACAGTAAATTCAGTCCGGTAGTAAAATTTGTCTGCCTGACTTTATTTCCTAGATAATCAAGTCTGTGACCATAATTCTACTAGGAATGTAAGTCCCAAGATAAATTTTTCCTAGGAAAATAAGTCCATAGCTAGTTAAATATGCCTGGCACTTATTTTCCTTGGAAAATTTTTATATATCCGTATTCTCATTTTCTTTTATGAAAAAAGTCCCTTTAAAATTTTATTTAAATTAATCAATATTAAAAATTAAGAAAGGAACATTGGTAATTAATGTACATCATAAAAGTCTGTGATATCAATTTTCCTAAGAAAAAAAAATCTGTTTAATTATTAAGAAACACCCATATTTTAATAAAATAGTGTAATATTAATGCACAACTGTTTAAGAATTTTAAAATATATAACATTTAAAAATTCCATTGTTAACATGTCAATTATTTCTTTCATTACACATTTTCTTATTAAAATAAAGGACACGGACATTTTTACCTAGGAATATTAATGACCTGGACATGAATTCCTAGGAAAATTAGTCTGGGCACATAAATGTTATCAAAAGATTAATGAACAACTGTTAAACAACATTAAAAAAAACAAAAACTCCATTGTTAACATGTAAATGATTTTTGTCGAGCCTGCGACTTTTGTCGCAGAAAGCTTGACATAGGGATAGTGATCCAGCGGTGGCGGCAGCGTTAGCTAACTTCTTAAAAAGCTTTATATTTAAGAAGCTAGAAGACCTGGATGCTTCATACTTTGTATATAGATGTCTTATGTTACAAAGTTTCTGTCTGTCATATGTCCATTCTCCTTGACCTCATTTTCATGGTTCAGTGACTACTTGAAAAAAAAGTCAACACTTTTTGTAATGTTAATTTCTATCTTATTATGAGTAATAGGATAACTATATTTAGTATGTGCGTACCTTGCAATAAGGTCCTCATGCCCATCAGACAATTTTCATTTGACCTCGACCTCATTTCATGGATCAGTGAACAAGATTAAGTTTTTGTGGTCAAGTCCATATATCAGATACTATAAGCAGTAGGTCTACTATATTTGGTATTTGGAATGATTGTAAGGTGTACATGTACACCTTACATGTCCAACTGGTAGGTGTCATCTGACCTTGACCTCATTTTCATGGTTCAGTGGTCAAAGTTAAGTTTTTGAGTTTTGGTCTTTTTTTCTAATACTATATGCAATAGGTCAACTATATTTGGTGTATGGAAATATTTTATGATGTACATGTCAGTCTCGCAGGCTTTATTTGACCTTGACCTCATTTTCATGGTTCATTTCTCAGTGTTAAGTTTTTGTGTTTTGGTCTGTTTTTCTTCAACTATAAGCAATAGATCAACTATATTTGTTGTATGGAAGGATTGTAAGGTGTATATGTCTGTCTGGCAGGTATCATCTGACCTTGACCTCATTTTCATGGTTCATTGGTCAATGTTAAGTTTGTTTCTTAGATACTATAAGCAATAGGTCAACTATATTTAATGCATACATTGATTGTAAGGTGTACATGTCTGTCTGGCATGGTTCATCTGACCTTGACCTCATTTTCATGTTTCATTGGTCAATGTTAAGTTTTCTCGGTTAAGACTGTTGAAACTATAAGCAATAGGTCAACTATGTTCGGTTTATTGAATGATTGTAAGGTGTACATGTATTTCTCGTTTGGTTTATCTGACCTTGACCTCATTTTCTTGGATCATGTTAAGTTAATGTGTTACTTGTAGTAAAGCTTTATATTAGGACTATCAACATAAAATCGATGGTTAGTAAAGAAGGCGAGACATTTCAGCGTGTGCACTCTTGTTTTCATTACACATTTTCTTATTAAAATAAAGGACATGGACGTTTTTACCTAGGAATATTGATGACATGGAAATGAATTAGTCTGGGGACATATATTACTGACATCGGACTAAATATACAAGTAAATTCTGTAATCATGGACTTTTTATACTAGAAATATGTGTCCGCACGGAAAGATTTTACCAGGACTAATTTATCTCTCACACTTATACAACTGGATACCAAATATCATTGACCTACCACTAGTGGTTCCACATAAACTGACCTAAACACAAACTAATACATGTAAACTAAGCGAGTTTCAAAGTCAATAGACCATGACTGAGGGGATGGGACAAATAATTTCTATGGAAATGAGATATGCCAATGCTAATATAACTGCATACCAAATATCATTGACCTACCACTAGTGGTTCACCATAATCTGACCTAATAACAAACTAATACATTGTTGATGACAACGCCGACGGTGCCGCCATCACTGATGCCGGAAACAGCATACCTAGTCAAGTCAATACAAAAATCCATTTAAAGACAAGAACAGAAAATTTTAAGCAATTGATAAAAGTCAAAAGAGGCTAACAAAATAGAAAATTTATGTAATACTTAGGTATTTCTTCTTTTTAAATCAAGGAAATAAAAGAACTTCCAAGAATTTATACTATGTCAAGGTAGAAACTTGACTAATAATAGATATCTGTCACTTAATTATTATGCTCAATCATAAAAACTTGGAAGTTTTTATCAATTTGTAAAATAAAATTAGAATTTTAAAATTAACATAAGTTATTAAAATTGCATTAAAATTTTCAACAAATATAATAATCAAATGTACAATATTAACTTATAAAATAAGGACATGAAAATATTGTGTGAAATGCCTATTTATAGTTATTATCAGATTTATCAAGACATATCATATTTGTCTTGTTCTATATTTGTCGTATGTGACCTGGAGGTCATGGCTAACAATTTAACAGTTGTAAATGCAATAAAACTTATGACTAATTGTCCTAGAGACAATATATAGAATGCACATCTGAATGTCAACATATATATAAATAACTTTAAATTTCCCTACTTAATACAGTTCCAAGAAAAATTCTTTATATATTTATATCTGAGCATTTTAAATCTGTTTCTTTAACATGTTTAAGTTACAACTTCTGTAAATGATGAAATGTAAATCTTTACACAATGTGTAAATTAAAATAATATCTTCTTAATTAAATTACCTTGATTCTTTTTTTCTCCCATCACAGCATTTGTAGATAACTCTTTAAATCAACATCTGTAATGGAAAAAGTAATTTGTAATCATAAGGAGGACAGTACTTGAATTCACATGGAAATAGCAGGAAATCTTACATTCCTGTTACTTTTTAGACGTACTAGGAAAATTTTCAGTTTTTCTGGCAGGATTTTTCATTTTCCTACAAAAATTCCTGGTATGGGTAAAAGGAATATTTTTTTTCCTGCCAGAAAATCTTTCTACTGGGAATTTTTTCTTATTTAAGCAGAATTATTATCTTGACTGATATTTATTTGTATTCAATTATCTTTAACTGGATTCCAGTTTGCTTAAATAACATTTATTTTGCTGTGTTATAAGCAATCAGGTTCCAGTTTACAAATTCAAAAGTTGGAGGGCAAAAGATTCAGATTGTGCATAAACAATGCTGCAATGATTAAATAATTATCGGGAAATATTTGAATGTAAGAAAAGATTGCTTATGAAGGTACTTGATTTTAAGCTACACTTTTTAACATGTTTAAGAGGAAGAATTAATCTTTTTTTCTCATTTGCATGATAGTCTAATTAATTCAACTTAAGTGCAAATCTTAGTCTTTAATCTTATTTTGGCTTGTATATATAAGTACATCTGATCTAAATGTTTATTGTATACATAATAATATACCAATACTTCTAGAAAAATGATTTTGAAAGTGAATGAAAGATTTACAACTGTTACTTCTTTTTCCATCATGACTACATTCAAAAACAGATTACAAAGCAGATTTATAACACAACTTTCATATGTGGCAGCTGCTTCATGAATTTAAGAGTCAAAGTTTGCAACAAGAAGTTTTAACATGTATTTTCTTTGTTCTTTGAGGCTGAGATTTAAGTTGACGAATGACCCAGTTGTGTATATATGTGTATATACTTATAAAAGTCTTAGATTCCTGCTAGAAAATTAATTTTCCTAGCAGTAATTTATAAAAAATAAATGGGGAATGTGTCCATGGGACACAGATGATGCCCTGGCTTGCATATCATATAAAGTTATAAAGGGACATAACTGAAGAACTGTAAAAGTGACGCTACCCAAATTTGTACTTGATCTGAGTTTTGTGGTAATAAGTATTGTGTATAAGTCTCAATATATTTGGTTGGGGCTAACTTAAGTTAGAGAACAGAAACGAAAAATTCATCAATTTTTCCGTTTGTAAACGGGCATAACTCTAGAACTGTAAAAGTGACGCCACCCAATTTCAAACTTGATCTGTATTATGTGGTAATAAGCATTGTGTATAAGTTTCATAACATTTGGTTGAGGCAAACTAAAGTTAGAGAAAGGAAACGAAAAATTCAGCAATTTTTATGTTTATAAAGGGGCATAACTCAAGAACGGTAAATAAAAGTGACACCACCCAATTTCGAACCTGATCTGTGTTTTGTGGTTATAAGCATTGTGTATATGTTTCATAACATTTGGTTGAGGCAAACTAAAGTTAGAGAACGGAAACCAACTTTGGGACGTACGGACGGACGTACGGATGGACAAGGGTAAAACTAAATGCTCCATCCGCTACGGTGGGGGCATAAAAATCCTACCTGGAATATTCAAATTAGCAGGGAAATTTGACGGGAATCCTGGTAGGAATTTTACTTTCATGCCAAATTATTCCTGCTAATTTGAATATTCCTGGTAGGAATCACATTATTCCTGCTAAGAAAATCCTACTAATTTAATTTTTTCTTCTGTTTTTCTAGGTAGATTCCTGCTACAATCAAGCTGAAATATGAACACTTTCCTGGTGGGAATTCTTAAGAAATTTCTACTGGACTCTGTGTTTATATAAGAATAGAATTATGAAAACATTTTAAGTTGAGATTTGAAAATTGTAAACGTTATACAATTTTATATATATATATATATAAAGAAGAGGGAAAAAAAAGAATTGAAAGGGGGCAAAGGTGTAGGTAAAATAATATTTAATCTTATTTTTATAGGAGACCTTAAAATCAAGGTTTTTTTTTAAGTAACAATGACTGATATAGAAAAAAAAAACAATACAATTATCAATAAAAAAGTAAGTATCTGATGTTGAAATGATTGTAATTTTATAATATTTATTGATGAAGTTTTGTCATTATCAAAATAAGGTTTGATTATTTCAATGGGAAGGGCTTATTTTTTAATGTCACTCGAAGGTGTAAATATGTCTTACTTTGTCAGACAATACTTGGTCATGTTTTATGAACATATAAAACCCTCGGCTACGCCTCCGGCTTTAAATATTCATAAAACATGACCAAGTATTATCCAACCTATACTTAAACACTGATTAATTGATAATCCTTCCAGAGGTTAACATTAATCCTGGAAAGTACTATGAACAAACATTGATTTTTACAAATATATGCAAACAATTTGAAAGGAAAATAAAAGAACAGAGTTCCAATGTCCCCCGCGTTGCACATAGTTTTTCTGTCTAAGGTCAATAACTAAATAAAAAAATGTTTGTTTGTTCTTTAAAACTTTTTAAAATTATCATAGAGAGTTAAAGACTTGAGATCAATTTCTAATATATTTAATATTTCCAAATGGCATAACCCATTAAAAATATTTGATCTGCAATTATTTTCTAAATTGTCCATGGCATTGCCGATATTAAGTTTAACCTACGATATAGGTTTCATAAAAATCTGGCAAAAAAATGTACATGTGAGAACACTTACAATGCAAATTTCCATATAATTAATATTTCTAAGAGACATAACTCTTTTAAAAATAATTCATCAGCACTGATTTTCAAACTTGTCTGAGACATTGCTGATATAAACCTACGATATAAGTTTCATAAAAATCTGGCAAGAATTGCACACATGAGAGCATTAACAATGCAATTTTCAATATAATTAATGTTTCCAAGGGGCAGAACTCTTTTAAAAATAATTGATCAGCACTGATTTTTGACGGACGGACCGTCGCCCGGTATTTCTATTCAATAAGTGAATAGTTTTCAAGTATAACAAAGAATTTCAAAACCAGAGGCACCAGGGAACTATATCCATATAACTATTTAAAAGCTTTAGGAAAGTTAAATACTATATATATGCTTATTTATTGAAATTCTGACATCAATAGAGGTCAAATTTTCCATTATAAAGGAGAGTCTAAATTAGCCTGATATCCTGGCCCAATCTTTACTTCGTCGATAGCGTTAGCAAGCAGAAAGCCAGGACCCCAGGCAAAGTCTGGATGGGGTGGGGGTGTCTTCATTTATTTTAGGCCATTTTTCTCTATTCTAAATGTTTTTGGCCCATTATTCTCCATTCTTTATATTTTAGCACCCAATTATACTTTATTCTTTATTTTTTTGGTCTATTTTTCTCTTTACTTTATCTTTTTCTCTATTCTTTCAACACCATGCACAACCTCATAAAGGTGAGGTCATTGACAGAGTTCAATTTTCCATGGCTGAAAATTTACCCCAGCTAAATTTTCCATTGTCCTAAAAGCTATGCCACACCTGAAATAGTCCCAAATACGTAAGAAAGTATATGAGGTTATGCAAATCTTTTGAAAAACTAAAACATGACATTTTGGGAGGATTTAAATAGAAAAAATAAATGACATCTAAATCAAATTTACATCAGCTCATCATTTAATTCATAAAGTTTATTTTTACTTTGAATATTGTCTTCATAAGTAAAAATATCTTTTTCAAAGTAGTTAAATATATAATACAATGACCATGTTCTTGTTTTACACTTGAGGTCTTGTTGATAACTATCATTTTGCATTGAACAAAGTCACACTTTTCTTACGACTATTTCTGAAGTTTTACACGTACTGTGGATACATTTATTTTTGATGATTGAAGAAACAATGTATTTTCATGGATATTTGATTTCCTAGTTTTGGCTAGGTTTGCATTCAAGCCTATAGCAAATTTTTGATTTAAAAAACCCACAAAAATAGGTATCTCACAAATTATAATGAATCCACAGTATGCTGTGAATAAGGTGTGAGACTGATACATTCCTTATATTTCTCTTGCTCTCATGCAAATTTTGAAAATAGGATGTGTACTTGATATTTTAGATACATGATTTTTTTATAAGTTGTTATTGGTTATGAACTAGCTGTCAGTAACTGGGAGTACTCTCAGATCTGTTCTTAGTGTCTTTTTTGTTGTTGTTGTGGGGATGTATAAATACTCTGCCAAGTCCTGTCTGTGTTTTTGTCACTTGTTTTTCTGCTTTGTAGTTTGTTCATATGTTGTGCTGGTACACCACTCTCCCAGGTTTTTTTTTTGGGGGGGGGGGGGGCTCAAACATGCTAAACCCCGCCACATTCTGTATGTGCCTGTCCTAAGTCAGGAGCCTGTAATTCAGTGGTTGTCGTTTGTTGCTGAACATCATATTGTTTTTCGTTCATTATTTTGTACTTAAATCAGGCCATTAAGTTTTCTTGTTTGAATTGTTTTACATTTGTCATTCTGGTGCCTTTCATAGCTGACTATATGTATGGGTTTTGCTCATTGTTGATTGCCTTACAGTGACCTATAGTTGTTAACTTCTATGCCATTTGATCATTGGCAATCATACCACATCTTCTTATTTGTATAAGTGTGTTTTTCTAATCCAGTGTTCATAATGATTGAATGTCACTGAAATTATAAAACTTATAAAATCCAAATCAGAGGTACTTGGCTCTGCCTTTGTGACAATTGATGTCTAAAACTTAAGATTTGATCTTTGTAATGTCTTTACTGTTCATATCATTTCAAAGCAATCATTGCCAATATCAAATGTAACTTCATCATGTTCATTACATATAAAATGACTTTGAAATCATTCCAGTTTAAATATTAATTGGAACTATCATATAAAAAGACAATACATGTAGCAAAAATACTTCCAAAAAAGACTTATAATAATTCTCAAAATAGTTATTGAAACTAAAAAGTATCAGGTTTTGGAGATTTATAGATTATCGTTGGTCATCTCAAAGAGATTGATTTTCTCGCTTGAGCAGGTACAGCGAAAGTGAGAAAAGCAATCGAGTTGAGATGACCAATGATAATCTATTTATCACTATTTTACCTATGACGACGTTGTCAATTTTATTGACATCAGCATGTGCGCCCTTAGTTTCTAGCAATAATTTTTCATATCACTCTACTGTGCTGAGATAGGAAATTATCAGTCAGTAAGATCAAAGGAAAATTTCGTAAAATAGCGATAATTAATGATACAAATTAATAATATTTAATTAACATGGGTAATATTGTCAAACACAGTAAGTTTCACTTAATCATGTTAATGTAAATGTGCAAATATACTTGCTTGTTAAAAATAATCATTAATATCCAAATTTTAAAACAGTTTCACGTACCTCAGAGCAATGCAATCTTTCATCAAGGAAGAGATAGAAACCAGAAACTGTAACTATAGCTTTGTATGTTAATACTTCCTGCTGGAAATTTTACATTACTTCATTTTAGTTTACACCCATGCAGATGTCAATAAATGTAAATAGTTATCGATCCTGCATTAATCACACATCCTTAATCATTCAATCTATCTGGCTAACACCCTAATGGGTGTCTCTAATATTTACAAATGTCAACAACTTTTCTTGCTTGCTCTAAGTTATAAAACTTTATAGTCATAAGTGATAACCATGCAAAAGCAATGATTTTACATATAATATATAAATTATGTTCAATGTTTACTGAGTTATTGTGTGATATAAGCATTTACTGTCATTTGTTACTGTTTCAATCATTTTACTGTTTCAGGGGATCCAATACAGTTTTGAGAGGAACTAACTCTTAGCGCAAAGTTTGCACATGAACCTATGGAGAGGTTCAACTAGTTTTCTTACCCAGTAGATCTATCTCAAACTAGGTCCCCTTTTTGTTTATCTCCAACCTTGGAATAATCAAATGTACAAAAAGAAAAAAATGAGAATAAATACAGGAAAAGCACTATACTATAGGTATAAAATATAAATACACTAGAACAAGCCTAAAATAATTTTGTGCAATATTCTTAACGCCATCTACAAGGAAAGATAATGTATAGTTATTTGGATTTGAATTTCCCCTGAATGAAAACATAAGAATAGTGCTTATATTAATGTGGGGGAAAAGCATATAGCTTGTATGACAATAATTTATATATCTCCCAGTCGATAAGATATTTCAGAGTTTGTATTTCCTATCATGATTTCCTTGAAAAATGTTAAAAAAAAGAGTTTCAACTGTATTCCCTATTACACTGAATAATTAATTCCCCTCAGGAAAACATACATTATAAAAAAAATCAAAACCTAGATATATATAATCTTCTCCTGAAGATATAAAGATATGTGTTGAATTCACAGATTATCTAACTGAATACTATGTAAGGGAGCTACCATTTGATTTTTTATGCCTATTTATTTTTCACTCTATTCGGTCCTGCCTTTTTTTTATTAGTCTATCCTGACTTTTTTTACATAAATTGTCATCCTGCCTTTTTTTTTTTGCAAAGTTGCTCATCCTGTCTTTTTTTCAAATTTCATCCTAGCACCCCATAAAAATCAAATGGTAGCTCTCTAACGGAAGATTCTATGTTTCCACATAAGCTTTGGGCAGAAGTTTCATGTAATTCAAAGCGAACAAATAATGGTCCACAGTCGTTCCATTCCCATTATAATGAGCAATTTTTGTCACCCAACCATCTACGTTTTTCTGGACAAAAGCTGGATACCCGGTACTATCATCAAATTGCAAACAGCAACATATATATCAAAATAAGAGGTATAGATGAATGAGCACTTCAATATAGATGAGATAAAGAGAATAAACAGTTCCTATTGCAATTTTATGAACAGTATTGTACAGGAGGTATATCAAGAGACTATACATTCTCTAGGATATAAATTCCAGTCTAGAAAGGAATTGTCACATTTGAGTTAACCTTTTAGAGTTTTAGTCTTGTATTTTAATGAACATGATGTTTTTTTATATTGTGCTGTCTTGATTCTATTAAAATTTATTATTCTATTAAGAGTTAATTTCTGTCGCTAATTAAAACACTGTAAAATGGGAATTGATAGTATTACACTTTTCGATGAAATTGGATAAAAAATATTGTGCTATAATGGCATTGATCATGTTGATAATTTCACTTTGTCTTAAAAAGGGATGTTTATTTCCAAAATATTAAAGATGTCATCATCATGATCATATCGAACAAAACTGAGAACAAAACAAAGCTATATTACGAAGGAAAACAAAATAATTGTCTGAAGAAAATAGTTTTTTTAATGCTTCCTGTATAAAATGTTAATTTTACCACTTTTTGGGGTTGACAGTTCTAAAACGGGAAAAAGTCAAATGTATTTCTTGTTGTTGCTGTTTTAAGGTTCATCATAACCTTTTGGCTAATATGGCCGTATTTACACCACAAAATTTTTAATCTGAGTACAGACAAACCTGTGCATCTGGAAAAGTTTTAAGGCATGGTAGGAACTAGATAATTAAAATTTTAATGCATCTTATGATTAAGAAAATTATAAACTTTTAGGGATTTTGCTATTCATTTTTTTTTCGTTCCTTGGTAAGTTGGGAAAGAGGTTTGAGAAGCTCCCCTCATATAATAAATGTTGTGAGTAGTATTGATTTAAATGGACAATAGATGGACAATAGACATCTGCAAACAACATGTGATTAATAATCAGTCTCTGACTCTGGACTGAGAGGGATAATATTATGCTAAAAAAGTAAATGATGCCGGTTAACTGACCCAGTGAATCATTCATAGGCCAAATTTGAATTTTATGGCACTAATGATATCCATAAACAGTTGAATATGCCTCAACATTTCTATATGTTAAATATATATACATATCTGGGGTTTTGCTTTTTCTTTTGTGTTTATTTTTTCTCTATTCTATATTTTGTCATTATTATATCATTAAGAATTAATAATAATCATTGTAATAAATTATTTGTAATTATACTGCTCTCTTAGGGCGTCCTTGATTGACAATAAAAATATTGTATTGTATTGTATTGTATTTAAACTGTAACTGAATGTGTTTGTTTATTTTGCAACATTTTGTATCTTCTGCAGACTGGAAAAATATGCACATCGAAATCCAGGTAAGTTTTTAGTTTTTTATATATATAGGTCCTGTCATGCCTTAAAACTTTCCTAGATGCATCAGTTTGTCTGTACTCATAGTAGATTTTGTAGTTAAAACACGGCCCTATTTTTCAATTCCTTTTGATGAACCTTAAAATCTGGGAGTCATAAATACATGTCATTTACCTTTTGAGTTCAACTGAAAAGAACGTTTATAAATTCTTTGTACATAAACATATCTTCACACTGATCAAACAGCCACTATCATTAAAAAATTTGTCCACAACCGATCAGTACGAAATTGATAATTTATCACAGTCGAATCGAAAGTGAAACTTGAAAGTCCCGCGAGGAAGGTTTAAATCTTCGTCTTTTAAACGCTTGATCGGTGAGCAAACTATAAGCGTCTTAAACTATAAGCTTCTTAATAAGCTTGTCTCAGGGTTGAATTGGGAATTACTTGTCTGACTCAGGAACATATATATTGACATATAGATATACTGTTCCCAGTCTGACTCAATTGGGAATTCCCTGTTTGTATCCAGGCTCTATTAAAACTTGTCTTGTATAGGATTTTGACATTAAATCCGCTGGATGTGTACTGATTGACATTTTAGGAAATTTAAAGTTAAATATAAAAATATTTGAACTTAAAAAGTATCTTTTGTTACATTTAGATAGGAACGTTAAAAAAACTATGCCAAAATAAAACAAGTAGCACTAGGTTAGCTATTGATCGTGACCGATATAAAAAAAAGACTGCTTTAGAAAATAAAATGTTCCCCAAAATAGAATAAGCTCCCTATGTAAAATTTGTAACTTTCAACATGTTCAAGTGTCACTGTATCATGCTTTTATTGTTTCTGTCACGGATGATGTCTTTTAAGCTCACCTGGACCACAGGGCCCGTGTAAAATTTTACCATCTGGTTGCGCTGGGACTATTATACATGTACTAACGTTAGTATAACAGTCCCAGATTTGTGTCATTCGTCTTTCGTCGTCGTCGTCGTCATTCTTTTACAAAAATCTTTTTCTGAAACTATTGGGCCAAATTGAACCAAACTTGGCAACAATCATCCTTGGGATATCTGGTGAAATATATGTGCCTGTTGAATCTGCCAACAAACATGGCAACCAAGGCTAAAAATAGAACATAGAGGTAAAATGCAAGTATTATCTTTTTATTTTGAAAACCATTATATAGATAGAAAATCAGACAGGGCATATCTTCAAAATGTCAAGATCTACATACTCTCTATGTTGACCAAAAATGTTGTTCTAGGATTTATTTGCCTAACTTTAATGTTGCTTTTTACCAAAGTTTGTGTTTTGTTCTTGCCTATTATCTTGAAAACTATAACAGAAATAGAAAACATTAAAAAGCAAAATTAATCAGCAGGCCTATGACTACTTTATGGACAATGCAGAATTTTCCATTGAATGATGATTTTATCCCTTTTGTACATCTTTAGTGAAGAAAATATGGTAGATAAAGACAAAACTGTAAACAGCAAAAATGATCAGAAAGACAACATTAAATTTTATACAAATAGGTCTATATAACCGAAATAGTCATTCGACTCCTTATAGGAGTGATTGTCCTTAAATGCCAATTTTTATCTATTTTGTTTGTTGGTTTCTATTATCTTGAAAACAATAATAGATTGAGAGAAACTTTTAAACCAAATATGATCAGCAACACAAGATCTACAAATAATGTAAATGATCTAACTTAAAGTTATGAGTCGACTCCTTATCACACTATCTGCCCTCATAAATGCCAATGTTTCACTTTTTTATTTCTTGGGCAAAAATTATCGACGATAGAGAGAAACCATCACCATAAAAAAAGATCTACAAGACAAGATCTACAAATATTGGTACACCAAAAAGAAATTGTCAGGAGTCATTGCCCTTGAATGGTGATTTTACCCATTTTTGTGATTTGGGCAAAATCTAGAAGAGATAGACAGAAACAGTAAACAGAAAAAAATATCAGCAATACAAAATCAACAAGAAAGAGAATTTAGCCATACATTTTATTCTAGTCTACAATGTTGGAAAGTGTTAAGCTTAGCGACACATGCTGTTTAGAGCCTCGAGTTTTATTAGTTACAATCCTTCTGCTTGGATTTTAAAGAAATTAAATGATTTTTAGACTTCACTTAATCCATATTCATTGTATATGTTGTACTTTGATCTTGATCGATCTTTGCTAGTAACGACGGGTAATATTAAAGGAGATATCTATCTATTCCTATGATTTGTTGTTTCGGTGTTACTCCGTTGCATATAGGCATACATGTGCCTGACACAAGTTGTAGCGGGAACATGACACTGGTGATAATCTTGTGTCATACTTTAGAGCTAATTTCCTAATGCTTGTAGAGTAAGACTTTGGTTAGCTTGCTTGCTTTGTTTGTATAAACGTTTGCTCAAGCATTGTAATTAAGATTTACATCTGCAAACAATATAGATAGGCATAGTTAAATCTGTATATATTATATTTAAATTTGATTGGACGTTATCCCAATTACAATGTACAATATACAAACAAAGAAAGCAAGCTAACCCAAGTTTTAGTCTACATGCATTAGGAAATTGGCTCTAACATGTTTTTCATCCTTTTGGATCATTATGTATATGACTCTTATGATGGACCTCAGTTTGAAATCGATTGCGCATGCACTCAACACATAAAGTAGCAGGAAGACCGATTCGGTCATCCGACTTTGAAAAAAATCTTTCCTTTACAGTTAAAACGATGATTTACATTATTTTTCTGTCTATAATATGAAATCAATCAGAAGTTAAGGAAATTCGTCATTATACTATTGCAAAAGAGAGGCGAAAGATACCAAAAGGGCATTCAAACTCATAGGTCTCGAAAATAAACGGACAACGCCATGGCTGAAAAAGAAAATAAAGACAAACAAACAACAGTACACAAAACACAACATAGAAAACTAAAGACTGCATGAGCAACACGAACCCAACCAAAAACTGGGGGTGATCTCAGGAGCCCCGGAAGGGTAAGCAAATCCTGCTCCATATACATGTGGAACCGTCGTGTTGCTCATGCAAGTGCTAACCAATCTGTTCATATTGATATCGAGTCATATTCCCATCGGCAGCCTCCGGGGTTATGTCGATAGTCAATTAGATGAAATGTTGATGCTTCATAACAATTCAATGCATTTTTTATCCTTTTCTGTGGAACGTTTGTAATTCTGAAATACCTTTTAGTATAAAAATTAACAGTATCAATGAATTTGACAGCACCGGATGCGCATTTCGACAACTAATGTCTATTCCGTGATACTCGAGGCCGTAACATTAAAAGATTCAAACCTGGTAAAAACGTTGAAAATGTTAAGTTATCAATCCATTTTGAGAGTTTGAATCAGTTCGACGGGCACACATTTGGCAGCTGATTTAAAACTTATTTGGCAAGGATGAGTGAGAAGAGAAATCAACTAGTTATTTCAAAACCAAGTAAAATTTAAAGGGGAAATAGAAAGGTTTTTTTCTAGGTGATTACCTTGAATAGTGAAACTTAGTCTTATAAATCTAGCTACTTTGTTTTGTATGTTCCATATTTTTTACTGGCGTAATAGTATATCATTGTTTATTTTTAAGACAATCCAAATATTTTTTCCACCCAAATCCTCATCTAAAATATCTGAAAATAACAAAACTTTATAGTGTTTTCGCCTTTCCACTTTTCGCGATTTCACATTTTCGCTGAATAGAATCAAAGGCGAAAACGCGAAATGGCCGAATACAACCCTACATGAATAAATTGTATTTCTGGATCAAATTTTTTTTAAATTCAGTAAAACTTTGGATTATTTGCGAACATTTGATATTAGATTACTGAACACTTCTATATGAGGGTCTTGATGTGCGTCCTTCATTTCTGTATTCTTTGATTTTTTAGATCATTTTTATGTATTCTTTATATTTTTGCCGTTTATTCTCTATTCTTTATATTTTAGCACCCCATTATTCTCTATTCTTTATTTTATTGCCCTATTTTCTCTATTCTCTATTCTGCACATTTTGCCCATTATTTTCTATTCTGTAAACCCCACCCAGACCCTCTTATATTGTTTCGGATATACGGGATGTGTCATTATTTATTATACTTCAAGTCAAAATGCCAGATTTTGATTGGTTAATACGAGGGAGACAATTTACTCTATCCCATGGCAAATACTCTATTTTCACAGAGACGCTTGCTCAAGTTTGCGCTTTAATAAATACGGATGATTGTTATATACAAGACGACATAATTTATTAATTTGAATTTGAAAATTAATAGACAGTAATAACAGTACATTCAGTATAATAAATCAAATAACACATATCTGAAAGGGTGATAGAGCAGATTGTTACCCATCGAAAAGACATTGTCAACCTTGGCTTCGCCTCAGTTGACAATGTTTTCTCGGGGTAACAATCTGTTCTATCACCGTCTCAGCTATGTGTTATTTATATAATGATATATGTCGCAACAAGTTGCAATGGGAAAACAGTTATCGACAATCAGTTAAAACGACATCAATCCTTCAAATATTTATTTACTCTTTCCAATTCAGGTTTTAGTAATTTTCGATAACATAGAACCTAATTTCAATAGAAAAATGTCGCACATAAGAAATACGTCTATCTAGTTTTAGAGATACATTTAATATAAAGCAGAGGAAAGACGTACAACTCACAAGGTAGGAACTAAGTAAATTACCTATCATATGTCAAGAAATCGATTGCGATTGTCTAACATCGTCTTTATATAAATATAGAGAGAGAGTTGTCACTGGTTCAGACGTACTTATAATATAATTATTTCTGTGACTGCATCCTACATTAATTTGTAAGATCCTCTACGATAGATAATTCAGCTGATCTGTAATATTCCATCTCCATGCCTTATATATCATGTACTGTGTTACTACGCTAGATAAAAACTGAGGAGGAAAGGTAACACCCGGCCACCGAAAGCTATATTTTTGTCGAGCCTAGGTGGTCGAGTGGTCTAGCGCGACGGACATAGTGCAAGGCGATTTGGCGCCACGATATCTCAGTAACATGAGTTCGTATCCCGACCAGGGAAGAACAAAAATTTGCTTCCGCAAATTTACAGATCTAACATTGTTGGGCTGTTATTCAGACGAATTTATATAAACATAAAATATAAAATTCTGTTACAGTGAATTTGTATAATCAGGGATTATGTAGAATCCCTGAATTTTTAGGAATTTTGCATAATCACTAAAATCATTAGTGATTGTATATAATTCCTGAAAATGACCAGTGATTTTACATAATCACTGAAAATTTAAAGAATTAATTTACAAATTCCCTGGAATGTTTTCAGGGATTATTATCAATAATACAAAGATTCTGAGAATTTCTCTGTTTGGTAAAAATAAATCAAATACAGACAAAGGTTTTCAATCCTAATAAAATTGTCATATTGTAATGTTTACGTTAATATTTTCAAAATGAAATATTGTTTACACTAAATATAGACAAATAAATCATATGTAAAACCTCTTCATGGTTTAAGTGGACAGTTTTCATTCCCTGTCCATTTATCAAATCTTATTAAAGTGAACAGTTTTTCTGGTGATATTCTATTTAACTATGTTAAACCACATTTACTCATAAACAAATAAGTATCTTTAATAGAAATTAATAATACCAAATGATCATAAATGCACAGATCATTTTATTTGCTGTACAACAAAGGAGATGAAAGTTAACGAAAAAGGAATTAAAACTAAGCAAAGAAATGCAACTGAATTCCAGAAACACAAACAGAACACATGCATGCTTCACCGATTGAACAACATTTTGGAGGAGGATGTGACACCGATTCCACGTGTTGATCGTGGAAAGGCAGACCCCAAAAACATAATGGCCACCGTTCATAAAAGGGCTGAAAAGGATAATGCCTGACTACAAAACATGAAATTATGCTCAGATAATACACAAGGAATTAATTTGAGGTGTCTGATTGACCTTTTTAGCACCTTCAGATGTTTCTTTATTCTCTTCAAAGTGCAGTAAAATTAGATTCAATATTTGAAGGCTAAGTTTTTTTTTGTTTTTTTTGTTGTTGCAAAAAAAAAGGATAAGCAGTGCAAATGTTCAGTAGTAAAGGGTCTGGATGGGGTTTAAAGAATAGAGAATAATGGGCATGCAGTGCAAAATAAAGGGCTGAGAAATAAAAAATAGACCAAATTTTAAGAATAGAGAATAACAGTGTCCTAAAATATACAGAAGAGAGAATAATGGGCAAAATGAATGAAGTATGGAGAAACATTATAGTAAAAAATAAAGAATAAAGAAATGAGGGACTCCCCATCCAGACCCTCATAGTAGATGTCCTCCAAATTTACAATGTAGATTTATGACTATTAATAGCATCTCAGGTACCTCTAGAATAGTTTTGGAGGAAAAAATCTAAGCAATGAAACTTTGTATGAAAATTTGTTTTCTAAGGAAATAAAACATGACGGTAACGTATCTGTTATGTGGAAAACCGTGAGTGACCCATAGTCCTGACCACGATATTATTTTCACAGTAAGAGCTAAGATCAACCACTTTGGAAACTTTCAAATCATATATATAGGAATCATTTGAGCATTATTAAAAGTTGGTTTACAGAAATTTATTTTCCAAGTATAATTTTGGCAAATGGTCCCGATTTGCTGAGAATCAGTGTTACAAGTATTATAATATTGTGCTTAAGATTTTAATATTTATGTTTCTAAAGATGTTTAAATATGATTTCATAGAATTAATTGTTTTACTTTTATTCAATGTCTCTTCATTCCAGTTATTATGTATAATCCCTGACATTTCTCCTAGTGATTATGCTATGCATAATTCCTGAAAATTTTAGTAATTATATATCATCACTAAAGTTACCAGTGATTATTCATAATCCCTGAAAATTTCAGGAATTATGCATAATCACCAGAAAAAAATTTCAGGGATTATACATAATCCCTTATTCTTCAAATTCACTGTAATATGTATATTGTTTAACCCACATGACTCGGTTAGCAGTCGCATTTTTTTCATCATTGTTGCTTGAAATCTTTTTCGTATTTGGTTTGTCTTCCAACTGTTTTGAATCGAGTGTCACTGATCATTCTTGTGTAGACGAAACGTACGTCTGTCGTACAATTTAATAAGTATCTTTAATGAGTTTTGTCCCCAGTAAACATACAAACTTTGGTGTCAATGTTAATAATTTGACACAAAAAAGACTTGAAACAATTGTTAAAATGGTCATTTAAGGATGCACCTACTACAATAATGAGCCAAGTAACAGTTTTGACAATACTGATATATTTGTAGGTTTTGTGTTGTTGGTCAATCTTAGAATTTAAGTTTTTCTCAATAATAGTTTTTAAAGAAATAGACAAAAACACCAAGAATGATGAAAATCATCACTTAGGGGCATTAACTCCTGTGAAGAGTGGTCTAAATAAAATTTATATGACCTCACATAACTTTATTTCTGTGTCCACGCGTCCAGCATTATTTTGTAAGTTAGCATGCAAAAGCGATCGAACATACGATCGATTTGAATAAGTTGCCCGCATATTTTCACAAATCTGAATTCACACGGTGTCTTTTGCATTTTCATTTTTACAAAATGTCGATTCAGGATAGGCCAACCGAATCGCAAATAAAAAAAGGCCTTGATATCATATCACGTATTATACACGTCAATATTTCGTTTTCCTTTAAATATTTATCACTTTTCTGATTTAACTTTAGTACTTTGAGACCATCCCTAGTTAAACGCCTCGGCGACCTAAATTATTTGTTTACAACATTGCTTACATGTACAGATCATGCCTATTTTAGCGAGTACTGCAGCTGCTTCTGTTAGGAGACTTAACTTAAATGCTTTAAAAAGGAATATATCATGTTCAAACGGACTTCCTATAATTGGTTGTTCATCTGAAACCTTTAAACTTGGACGAAAATTCGAAATTACTCAGAGATCCGCATTATCATCGTCATCAAACACATGTGGCTTTGAACACGAACACGGTGGACGCTATAAATGGATACAGGATAAAATGGTATTTGCAGCCATTTTTGGACTGACAGGTAAGATTTAACATATCTATTCGTTGTGACACAGTATACAAGACACACATTTTGACTGACGGGTCATTTCAAGTGACAGGGGTCGTCTCAAGATACATACTAATAAGAGGTTATATAGCTATATAGCTGACACCGAATTTACCAGTTAACTGTTAATATGAATTTAAGTTTTATAATTGTTTTAATATAAATATAAATTGCTTTATTGCATTTCAGGTGCTCACTTTTGTTTTGTAAAAATACAGCGGAAAAGCTTTACAAATACACTTGACAGCGATTAAACTGGCCATGGCCTCATTGACATTTTTTCTGATATGATATTTTCTCCTGCCAGTCTATTATACTATTGATAGATATAGGTAGCAATATATACCAAAGTTCAGAAATTGCGGATCGATTTTCTTTTATAGATAATAGAGAATTAAAAAAAAGTATCAAGAAATTCTGCTTGTTACGTTCAACCCTGACAGATTTCCATGCAGTATGTATAAGCAATGCAAATTAAAAGCAAGCTAACAAATCAATATACAACACGAGAACATGAAAATTAGCACAGTGCTTAGTAAAAAACAATGCAGAAAATATATTAGCATGATTAGGTTCGGTAGCCAGGTACGGCATACTATTTTATTTTTTCTAATAAAAGTTTTTAATTGGTTGTAAAAGGGACTCCGTTTGACTTTAGAGTGATTGTTTATTAAAATTAATAAAAGAATCTTGATAGTTGACACTAAAAATTAGGGTCGGTCGAGCTAGCTGAAACGAATGTATATAATTTTAAGGTCAAGTTACAGTAAATGTGCAATGTCACAGATCTTAGTAAATTTGTGCATACAACCACAGGCACTTGTCTCAGAATTTGTCCCCCCTATATACATTAATATATCAGTGTTATATTAAGGTATATAGTAAAAACAGTTTCTGAGACAAATGCCTGTGCATACAACTTTGAATCATCAAATTTCAAATCCATAGTATTTTATATGCAATGATCACCTATTTTAAAAGAATTCAATCAGTTATATTTCATATCTTAAAAAAGATGAATTCTTCATTTTTTCGATTTTCAATTCTAGTTCAACGAGCCAATGTTGCATGTATGACAGCCCATTTACTATTTATCTGGTGAACATTGCATGGTAACATATATATATATATATATGATTTCGAATCCCGGCCAGGGAAGAACAAAAAATTTGCTTCCGCAAATTTACAGATATAACATTGTTGGGCTGTTATTTATTTATATATAGACGAATTATATATTATATATATATATATTTAAGATCCATTTATTTACATCTGGTGATCATTTCATTTGGCAATCGCCAATGGCAGTCAGCAGGGTTTAAGAACATCCGTTGTTCGACCTATTAGTCAAATGCATTTTGTTAAAATAGACTTTTTCACTTTTTTGGTCTCTTGGAAAATGTTGTTTGTGTTGTATTTAGACCCCTCTACCAAGAAATTTGTTTTGCATGCACACGTTTAAAAATTGCGATTTTTATCCAACGCAATCATAGGTTTGAACATGGTTTTCAATTTAGACTTATATATACATATATATAAAGAATCCGTATGCTGGTAACATATAAGAAATTAATAAAAGATAATAACAGTTTCAATTCATCACTTTTACTAGCGCTTTCACTGCTTTTACAGATCTTCAGGTAATTTCATTGCTTTTACAGATCTTCAGGTAATTTCATTGCTTATACAGATCTTCAGGTAATTTGCAATTACCTGAAGATCTGTAAAAGCAGTGAAAGTGCTAGTAAAAGTGATGAATTGAAACCGTTATTATCTTTTATTAATTTTCTTATATTATTAGTTACATGGTGTGTCAGTGACCTAATACGATATATATGGGGTCAGTAAATTCCATATGGGGTGAGAGCGAATCCCCATATGTAATTTACTGACCCCATATATATCGTATTAGGTCACTAGCACACCGTGTAACGAATTTATCTTACCGACTATCTTCACGTGTGGTATTTAGACTAGCGGCCTATCAAAGTGATTAAGTCTTCAATACTTAGTATTAAGAACCTACTTCCATTTGTCTATACAAAAAACTAATGTCAACAATAGCAACTTGTTAGCTTTAAATTTGTTTTATGAATTTATTTCAATCGTTCATTATCAATTTCTTCGTCTGGTCCGAAGCTTTCAGATTTCTTTTTTGTTTTGAACAAAATGGGGTTAGTAACTCCTTACTAACCCCATATGGTAACTAACCCCATATTTTTTAGGACACCCTGTAGTCACCACGTGTAGTCCTTTAACCAATCATATCCCCTGAAATCTATAGGAGGTAAGATATATATATATATATATAAGTCTATAAAAAGGACCAACCAGCAAATTTACTATGTACCGGATCGTCTAGAATAGACGATACTGTGCAGATAAGGAAAAAATTATATAAGTATATAAGTCAATAATTTTAATTTTAACGATAATCAGTATTGTTAAAATTATTGACACTGAGGAAGGCTATTTGTTAAGCCGAAATATTTGTCAACACGATTTAATAACAACATCTTCGTATAATACCATCTCATATTAGTATCGTTGTGCAAATCTCTAGACTTATATATATATACAGGTTTGAATTGAAAACAACGTTCAAACCTATGATTGCGTTATATAAAAACCGCAATTTTTATACGTGTGCGTGCAAAACAAATTTCTTGGTAGAGGGGTCTACAGCACACACAACATCTTAACTATTAATTTAATACCAAACAGAAAACAATAAACTTGCGGAAAAGATGGTATACCGCAAACAAAAGGTGCAAAAATTAGTACACCATATCCGGATTTCGCCAATTAATGTCTCTTCAGTGATGTTAGGAATCGAAACGGTATTTGGAAGGCCATATAATTTACCTCAATTTAGGGTAGCAATAAACAGTTAGGAAAAAATATTAAAATTTTCCCTCATAAATTTTACCATCCCCTTTTCATTGCCTTCTTGCAATATTAAGCTTACTGTTTGTGTCATATATGTGCATATGTATGTAATCAGAATCTTCCATAGATTTCAAATCCAGTATATAAAATGGTAAAATATAATTTCTTTTTGGTGTATCCATGGCAACAATCTGCATTTTTTTGTTATAAAATATAACAAAAAGGGGGGAAAAGATGTCACATATTTCCCCAAAATTTGACCAAAAGTCGAATTTCAATCACTTCGAGTAATACCTTTTCTGAAACTGTTTACATATATCTTTCAATAAATCCAATGAAAATTATATGTCTTTCATCTCATTTTTTTGTAAAATTGCGTCAAAAACTTCGTGTAGAAAAAAAGTGTTTGTAAACATTACATTAATTTCTGGACCGATGACCGGTCTAGCTATGAAAATACGGAGAGTCAAACAGAAAATAGCCCATAAAACATGTAAAAAATAATCTTGATGTTCTTATAAACCACCTTTGAAGGCTAAATTAGTACTCAGCTGTCTAAAAATGAATTTTATTACACAATAACTTTCATATTTGAAAAATCCACCGGGGCCAAAATGCGAAACCAAACTCCTAACTGTGTATTGCTACCTTAATAGTAAATATTTTTTTCCAATTCTCCCTTTTAACTAATTTTCTGTGTTCTGCTAGCTAAAAGGAGTAAAATGGCCTTTTATTTTTGAAAATTGGTTGAGTAATGAATATTTTATGAAGGTTAGCAGTTGACACTGAAACGCGACAAAAACTGATTTAAAGAAAGGTGCCAAGTCAAAGAGTAAAATCTTGTTTCTACCTCAATTTTTGGCAAAATCTTAAAAACTACACCTCTTTTGTCAGTTTTTTAATGTTGAAAATCTTTATAAGACCTTTGATGATGCAAAATTGTACAAAATTTAACAATTTCAAGCATGAAAATGTTAATCTTTATGTTTAATGTATACCAAAGACTTGATTAAAGTACTTGGTAATGGGGAATCAATTTCTTACAGCTGAATCAACTATACATTTAATATATGTCAAAATGTAACATGAAATCTTGATAAAAATAATAATTTGATATATTCGCAAGAAAAAATACAAAACATTCAATACTTAGGCTACTACATACTGCGCAATCCTCCAGAAGCAAGGGTTAAGCAAATAGAGTACAATTATAAGCCTTGTCCCAAAATGTCTAATTTTGGTTGCTAAGGACTGTAAACAATAAAATTGACATGTATTGTCATTCTTAAACACTTAATCCCTTCAGAAGTTGATTTAGAATCTAAATATCAATAGATTTGTGGTATGAAAAGTCTTAAATTATACAATTCTGAGCTTGGTAAGTATGCCATAAGGTAGCAATAAACAGTTAGGAAAAAATATTGAAATTTTCCCTCATAAATTTTACCATCCCCTTTTCATTGCCTTCTTGCAATATTAAGCTTACTGTTTGTGTCATATATGTGCATATGTATGTAATCAGAATCTTCCATAGATTTCAAATCCAGTATATAAAATGGTAAAATATAATTTCTTTTTGGTGTATCCATGGCAACAATCTGCATTTTTTTGTTATAAAATATAACAAAAAGGGGGGAAAAGATGTCACATATTTCCCCAAAATTTGACCAAAAGTCGAATTTCAATCACTTCAAGTAATACCTTTTCTGAAACTGTTTACATATATCTTTCAATAAATCCAATGAAAATTATATGTCTTTCATCTCATTTTTTTGTAAAATTGCGTCAAAAACTTCGTGTAGAAAAAAAGTGTTTGTAAACATTACATTAATTTCTGGACCGATGACCGGTCTAGCTATGAAAATACGGAGAGTCAAACAGAAAATAGCCCATAAAACATGTAAAAAATAATCTTGATGTTCTTATAAACCACCTTTGAAGGCTAAATTAGTACTCAGCTGTCTAAAAATGAATTTTATTACACAATAACTTTCATATTTGAAAAATCCACCGGGGCCAAAATGCGAAACCAAACTCCTAACTGTGTATTGCTACCTTAATAGTAAATATTTTTTTCCAATTCTCCCTTTTAACTAATTTTCTGTGTTCTGCTAGCTAAAAGGAGTAAAATGGCCTTTTATTTTTGAAAATTGGTTGAGTAATGAATATTTTATGAAGGTTAGCAGTTGACACTGAAACGCGACAAAAACTGATTTAAAGAAAGGTGCCAAGTCAAAGAGTAAAATCTTGTTTCTACCTCAATTTTTGGCAAAATCTTAAAAACTACACCTCTTTTGTCAGTTTTTTAATGTTGAAAATCTTTATAAGACCTCTGATGATGCAAAATTGTACAAAATTTAACAATTTCAAGCATGAAAATGTTAATCTTTATGTTTAATGTATACCAAAGACTTGATTAAAGTACTTGGTAATGGGGAATCAATTTCTTACAGCTGAATCAACTATACATTTAATATATGTCAAAATGTAACATGAAATCTTGATAAAAATAATAATTTGATATATTCGCAAGAAAAAATACAAAACATTCAATACTTAGGCTACTACATACTGCGCAATCCTCCAGAAGCAAGGGTTAAGCAAATAGAGTACAATTATAAGCCTTGTCCCAAAATGTCTAATTTTGGTTGCTAAGGACTGTAAACAATAAAATTGACATGTATTGTCATTCTTAAACACTTAATCCCTTCAGAAGTTGATTTAGAATCTAAATATCAATAGATTTGTGGTATGAAAAGTCTTAAATTATACAATTCTGAGCTTGGTAAGTATGCCATAAGGTAGCAATAAACAGTTAGGAAAAAATATTGAAATTTTCCCTCATAAATTTTACCATCCCCTTTTCATTGCCTTCTTGCAATATTAAGCTTACTGTTTGTGTCATATATGTGCATATGTATGTAATCAGAATCTTCCATAGATTTCAAATCCAGTATATAAAATGGTAAAATATAATTTCTTTTTGGTGTATCCATGGCAACAATCTGCATTTTTTTGTTATAAAATATAACAAAAAGGGGGGAAAAGATGTCACATATTTCCCCAAAATTTGACCAAAAGTCGAAATTTCAATCACTTCAAGTAATACCTTTTCTGAAACTGTTTACATATATCTTTCAATAAATCCAATGAAAATTATATGTCTTTCATCTCATTTTTTTGTAAAATTGCGTCAAAAACTTCGTGTAGAAAAAAAGTGTTTGTAAACATTACATTAATTTCTGGACCGATGACCGGTCTAGCTATGAAAATACGGAGAGTCAAACAGAAAATAGCCCATAAAACATGTAAAAAATAATCTTGATGTTCTTATAAACCACCTTTGAAGGCTAAATTAGTACTCAGCTGTCTAAAAATGAATTTTATTACACAATAACTTTCATATTTGAAAAATCCACCGGGGCCAAAATGCGAAACCAAACTCCTAACTGTGTATTGCTACCTTAATAGTAAATATTTTTTTCCAATTCTCCCTTTTAACTAATTTTCTGTGTTCTGCTAGCTAAAAGGAGTAAAATGGCCTTTTATTTTTGAAAATTGGTTGAGTAATGAATATTTTATGAAGGTTAGCAGTTGACACTGAAACGCGACAAAAACTGATTTAAAGAAAGGTGCCAAGTCAAAGAGTAAAATCTTGTTTCTACCTCAATTTTTGGCAAAATCTTAAAAACTACACCTCTTTTGTCAGTTTTTTAATGTTGAAAATCTTTATAAGACCTCTGATGATGCAAAATTGTACAAAATTTAACAATTTCAAGCATGAAAATGTTAATCTTTATGTTTAATGTATACCAAAGACTTGATTAAAGTACTTGGTAATGGGGAATCAATTTCTTACAGCTGAATCAACTATACATTTAATATATGTCAAAATGTAACATGAAATCTTGATAAAAATAATAATTTGATATATTCGCAAGAAAAAATACAAAACATTCAATACTTAGGCTACTACATACTGCGCAATCCTCCAGAAGCAAGGGTTAAGCAAATAGAGTACAATTATAAGCCTTGTCCCAAAATGTCTAATTTTGGTTGCTAAGGACTGTAAACAATAAAATTGACATGTATTGTCATTCTTAAACACTTAATCCCTTCAGAAGTTGATTTAGAATCTAAATATCAATAGATTTGTGGTATGAAAAGTCTTAAATTATACAATTCTGAGCTTGGTAAGTATGCCATAAGGTAGCAATAAACAGTTAGGAAAAAATATTGAAATTTTCCCTCATAAATTTTACCATCCCCTTTTCATTGCCTTCTTGCAATATTAAGCTTACTGTTTGTGTCATATATGTGCATATGTATGTAATCAGAATCTTCCATAGATTTCAAATCCAGTATATAAAATGGTAAAATATAATTTCTTTTTGGTGTATCCATGGCAACAATCTGCATTTTTTTGTTATAAAATATAACAAAAAGGGGGGAAAAGATGTCACATATTTCCCCAAAATTTGACCAAAAGTCGAATTTCAATCACTTCAAGTAATACCTTTTCTGAAACTGTTTACATATATCTTTCAATAAATCCAATGAAAATTATATGTCTTTCATCTCATTTTTTTGTAAAATTGCGTCAAAAACTTCGTGTAGAAAAAAAGTGTTTGTAAACATTACATTAATTTCTGGACCGATGACCGGTCTAGCTATGAAAATACGGAGAGTCAAACAGAAAATAGCCCATAAAACATGTAAAAAATAATCTTGATGTTCTTATAAACCACCTTTGAAGGCTAAATTAGTACTCAGCTGTCTAAAAATGAATTTTATTACACAATAACTTTCATATTTGAAAAATCCACCGGGGCCAAAATGCGAAACCAAACTCCTAACTGTGTATTGCTACCTTAATAGTAAATATTTTTTTCCAATTCTCCCTTTTAACTAATTTTCTGTGTTCTGCTAGCTAAAAGGAGTAAAATGGCCTTTTATTTTTGAAAATTGGTTGAGTAATGAATATTTTATGAAGGTTAGCAGTTGACACTGAAACGCGACAAAAACTGATTTAAAGAAAGGTGCCAAGTCAAAGAGTAAAATCTTGTTTCTACCTCAATTTTTGGCAAAATCTTAAAAACTACACCTCTTTTGTCAGTTTTTTAATGTTGAAAATCTTTATAAGACCTCTGATGATGCAAAATTGTACAAAATTTAACAATTTCAAGCATGAAAATGTTAATCTTTATGTTTAATGTATACCAAAGACTTGATTAAAGTACTTGGTAATGGGGAATCAATTTCTTACAGCTGAATCAACTATACATTTAATATATGTCAAAATGTAACATGAAATCTTGATAAAAATAATAATTTGATATATTCGCAAGAAAAAATACAAAACATTCAATACTTAGGCTACTACATACTGCGCAATCCTCCAGAAGCAAGGGTTAAGCAAATAGAGTACAATTATAAGCCTTGTCCCAAAATGTCTAATTTTGGTTGCTAAGGACTGTAAACAATAAAATTGACATGTATTGTCATTCTTAAACACTTAATCCCTTCAGAAGTTGATTTAGAATCTAAATATCAATAGATTTGTGGTATGAAAAGTCTTAAATTATACAATTCTGAGCTTGGTAAGTATGCCATAAGGTAGCAATAAACAGTTAGGAAAAAATATTGAAATTTTCCCTCATAAATTTTACCATCCCCTTTTCATTGCCTTCTTGCAATATTAAGCTTACTGTTTGTGTCATATATGTGCATATGTATGTAATCAGAATCTTCCATAGATTTCAAATCCAGTATATAAAATGGTAAAATATAATTTCTTTTTGGTGTATCCATGGCAACAATCTGCATTTTTTTGTTATAAAATATAACAAAAAGGGGGGAAAAGATGTCACATATTTCCCCAAAATTTGACCAAAAGTCGAAATTTCAATCACTTCAAGTAATACCTTTTCTGAAACTGTTTACATATATCTTTCAATAAATCCAATGAAAATTATATGTCTTTCATCTCATTTTTTTGTAAAATTGCGTCAAAAACTTCGTGTAGAAAAAAAGTGTTTGTAAACATTACATTAATTTCTGGACCGATGACCGGTCTAGCTATGAAAATACGGAGAGTCAAACAGAAAATAGCCCATAAAACATGTAAAAAATAATCTTGATGTTCTTATAAACCACCTTTGAAGGCTAAATTAGTACTCAGCTGTCTAAAAATGAATTTTATTACACAATAACTTTCATATTTGAAAAATCCACCGGGGCCAAAATGCGAAACCAAACTCCTAACTGTGTATTGCTACCTAGGATAGACTACTAGTATTGAATTTTGAAGAGTCGAAAAAGGATGAACGGACCATATAAACCCGAAGGCAAATATATATATATATGATCACAAATAGTCCAAATGATTTGGTAGTACATTGAATTTATTTTTCGAAAGAATAAAGTAATTTACCCTTTGTCACTTTTGTCGCGCCTTCGCCGAAAGTCGCTAAAGAGGCAAAGCAATCATACGTCGACGTTGTGGTTGGTCTCAGCGTTGTCGTCTTTAAGGCTAAGCCTGGGATTAAAGTTTTTAACAAACCTTTTTGATCGGGAATTTTCCTGATGAAAAGATTCAATTTGAGTGAGTAAAATTCAGATCTATCGTTAACTCTCTTACCCGTCGAAGTCAGAGTTCTATATTTTAATTAGATTGGAAAAGATTGTATACTAAAAGATCAAAATTTTTCTTTTTTTTTTCTTTCATTTTCCGTTTTATACTGATAAATGGACTTCTAGTTTTATATTTTTCAGGTTCTGTTTTATATTGGAAATCAAAAAATGGTGCTATAAAAGCAGCTTCGGCTAAAAGTAGCCTTCACCCTGGAGGTGGAGTAATACCAGGCCTACCGACTTACACTTTATCTGACGTTGAGAAGCACAAGACTAAAGAAAAGCGTATTTGGGTAACATACAAAAATGGCGTCTATGATATTACGGATTATGTCACTAGTCATCCTGGAGGTACCAAGATTTTATTGGCAGCCGGTGGCTCTATTGAACCGTATTGGAATATGTATGGAGTCCACAAACAAGGAGAAATCGTTGAAATGTTGGAGGAGCTAAGAATTGGAAATATTACAGAAAAACCAAAGGAGCAAGCATTCGACAAAAACGATCCGTACTCAAATGATCCCAAAAGACACCCAGCTATTATACCAGCCTCCTCAAAACCGTTTAATGGCGAACCACCATCAGCTATTTTGACGGACAGCTTTTTGACACCGAATGATTTGTTCTACATACGGAATCACCTTCCAGTGCCAGATGTAAATGTCAAATCTTACAAGCTTGATATTTCCGTACAAGGACCGGGAAAGTTCACGTCCTTTAGTTTTGACGATTTAAAGCGCAAATTTTCTAAGAAATCTACTGCAGTTGTCTTACAGTGCGCAGGAAATCGAAGAAGTGAAATGGTTAAAATAAAACCAGTAAAGGGATTGAACTGGGGAACATCAGCTATTGGCAATGCGGAATGGTCTGGACCTTGCCTTGATGACTTGTTGAAACAAGCTGGTATAGATATTGACCAAGTAACCCAAAAACATGTTCTTTTCGGAGGTATGGATAAAGATCCAGCTGGTTCTCCGTATGAAGCTTCTATACCGATCGAACTGGCACGGTTGCTAAAACGTGATATCATCGTGGCGTACGAAATGAATGGTCAGGAGATCCCACGTGATCATGGCTATCCAGTCCGTATAATCATTCCTGGGATCGTTGGAGCCAGACAGGTTAAATGGCTGACTAGTATTAAACTGAGTAATGAAGAAAGTATGTGTCACTGGCAACAGAATGACTATAAAGGATTCCATTCATCCATTGACTGGAATAATGTTAATTTCAAATCCGTGCCTGCTATCATGGAACTTCCGGTTACCTCTGCTATTTGCGAACCAATTGAGGGTACTGACTTGCCACCAGACGCCGATGAAGTAACTGTTAAAGGATATGCTTGGAGTGGTGGTGGGCGTGGTATTGTCAGAGTAGATGTTTCCATTGATGGTGGCAAAACTTGGGATTCTGCAATCCTAAGTCCACCCAAACAACCAATGTACAAAACATTTGCATGGACTTTCTGGGAAGCAACTCTTCCAATTCCAAAGAACCATAAAGGGAAAGTTGAAATAATTTGCAAAGCTGCCGACTTGTCTTATAACGTTCAACCAGATAGTGTAGAGGGGATTTGGAATTTAAGAGGCGTGTTGAGCAACGCATGGCATCGTGTGAATATGTCTATTCCAAAGTCGTAAGGGGACGTTCGGTCATCAGTCGTGTTATATGTACTAAGTCTGGACCAGAAATTCGTATTCAAGGAGGAGATATGATAAGGGTCTTTTCCTCCCTTTAATTGCAAATTTACCACAAATATAGTAAATGTTTTCATTTTTTTCAAAGCTATAATTTTTTTTTTTAAATACATAAGATGATTATAAAAATGTGAAGGACTAATGTATGGTGCACATACTTGATACAGTATTAGATTGAAGCCTTATACTTTCTGATATCGAAGACGGTAGAAAGTGATCTTATCGTACCTTCTTCTTAAACTTTTATTTTAATCATCCATTTACCGTCGTAAAGCTTTAGTGTCACTTATGAATTACTTTGTATACATTTATTTTCGAACTTTGGGTAAGAAAATGCAGTCTCCTTTTTTAATCCTTAAACATTCATATTGGCGACGGGGATATTTCTTTTATCAGCACAACTGTTTATTTTTGTCAACGTTTTGTAACAGTTCTATCATTCGTGTATAACTGTTGTGCTGTTTTTATTCATTTTCACAGCATTTACCTCCCCATGACAAGAACACTGCTTGTTGTCGCTGTCCGAATTCACACCGTAATTGGAATTCAATTCAAAGTATACAAACGGGACAAAAAGGCACAATGCTTTGAATCAAATAACCTTGTTGTGCGATTGGGATATAACGCCTCGATCATGACCTGAGTACCTTATAGATTATCTATATTTAATCATATAAGCAGAAAAAATATATTTTTTTTAATAATAATAAGCATATTAATATAAACGAAACCGAACAAAAATATTTGTGTTATTTGTAATTTTTGTTGTAATCTACTATCTGTATAGTTTTACTATGTTACCAAAATGTGATGTTTAATTGGAAAATCCTAAAATCTTTGATATTACAAACTGTTCAGGGAGCTATATATAGATACCAAGGACACACATCGAATGTATATATGAAAGTTTACAAGATTACTTGTTGATGATTTGTGATATAGATAGAAATTGATAAACATGCTTTTAGGAAATGATCATTTTAGTCGGGTGATATTAGAGAGAAATGTTATTTGCAAATGTATTATTAATCACACAAATGTTTTTTGAGGTAAATGGGGAGAAAATAATTACATTTGTTACCATAATTTCAATTCCTTTTTCTTGTACTTTATTTATATTACCAAATATATACAGAAAAGTATATATTACACATTGTAATGAATCTGTTTTGTGCAATGTTTGCTAATAAAGATTCATTGTAAAAGTTAAAAAAAAAACGTATTTTGCCACTATTTTAAATTGTCCGTTTAAAAATTTCGAAATTATTCGGAAACTAAGGTTTCGACTCCCTCAGGCAAAGTTGCCCTTTGGCTATCATTTTTAGGTTCTTTTTGTCCCGGTTTGGTCATATAGCTCTTCAACTGTTTCTGTTCTTATACATTCTAGACTTGGCTTTCTAAATTTGAGCGTTCCTGATGAATGTAAATCCAGGAAAACGCTTCGGCATGAAATTTATCATTTTGTTTTAGGCATCGACATGTCTTTGGCTTGACTCTTTTGTTTCAGTACGATAATATTTGTTTTCAATGATGGAACTCTATGATCACAATGTTCTTTGACACAAACTTTGCCTTGAAATAACTAAAAACGATCAAAAGACAAACAATAGTATACACAAAACAACATAGAACACCAAAGACTGAGCAACATGAACCCCACCAAAAACCGGGGGAGGGGGAACTCAGGCTCCGGAGGAGTAAGGCGATCTTCATCCAAATGTGTCACCCGTCGTGTTTGCTCATGTAAGTACATAACGGTCAACCAACACGTGTCAGTAAAATTTTCGAAGGCATGATGTTAATATCACCAATTGGAACTCTTGGTTTAATAGCTTTCTCGTAAGCAACAACCCTCTATCATGACAGGAAATGCAAGCTGTGGAATATCGTATTAACCGGGATATATAGACTCCATATGTAGGCGCTGCTGGAATGTTGCTATATAGGAATCGAAAGTTCACAATTGGACAGCTGAAATCCTCTCTCTTGTCATAATTTTTTGTTCTAAACCGACACTTATTGTCTATTTCTAAAAATATGTCAAGATATGAGGCAGACTTAACTATATCTGTTGTATCATTGATTTAAAGTTCGATTGGATAGATGCGTTCAACATATTCACCAAACTTTTAATTATTTAGTGAGAGGACACCATCTATATATCGGAACGTGAAGTTACAAGATAAAGCTTGATTCTCCCTAAGAATCTCCTGTATGAAATCAGCCTCATATGAATATAGGAACAAGTTGGAAAGAAGAGGAGCACAATTGATTCCCATAAGAATGCCGATCATTTGTTGAAAAACACGAGCTCAAATCGTAACAAATAAGTTATCAATCAGTAAATCAAGCATATTGATAATATCAGTTTCAGAGATTTTTTTAGCTCACTTGGCCCACAGGGCCAGGGCCAAGTGAGCTTTTCTCATCACTTGGCGTCCGTCGTCGTCCGTCGTCGTCGTCGTTAACTTTTACAAAAATCTTCTCCTCTGAAACTACTGAGACAAATTTAATCAAACTTGGCAACAATCATCATTAGGGTATCTAGTTTAAAAAAATGTGTCTGATGATCCCGCCTGCCAACCAACATGGCCGACATGGCTTAAAATAGAACATAGAGGTAAAATAGTTTTTGTCTTATATCTCTGAAACTCAAGCATTTAGAGCAAATCTGACATGGGGTAAAAAACGTTCATCAGGTTTAGATCTATCTGCCCTGAAATTTTCAGACGAATCAAATACCAGTATTTGGGTTGCTGACCCTGAATTGGTAATTTATAGGAAATTTTGCAGTTTTTTGTTTTTATCTTAAATATTATTATAGAAAGAGATAAACTGTAAACAGCAATAATGTTCAGCTAGGTACGATCTACAAATAAGTCAACATGACCAAAATTGTCAATTGACCCCTTGAGGAGTTATTGCCCTTTATAGTTAATTTTTAACAATTTTTCGTAAATTTTTTGTAATCTTTTACAAAAATCTTCTCCACTTAGTCTACTGGGCCAAATAGAATTAAACTTCGCCACAATTTTCAATAGGGTATTTTGATTGAAAAATGTAATCGATGACTATGCCATCCAACCAACATGGCCGCCATGGCTAAAATAGAACATAGGGGTTTACTATAGAAGTCTATGGGGAAATAGTTAAAAAAAACAATTTCAAATGGTCACAACTTGAAAACTAATTTTAATAATGATAAGGGGTCTTCAGTAACTATTGTAAGACTACAATGGGATGACCTACTTTTAATTTAATTACTGGGCCAAAATTAAACCAAACTTGGCCTCAATCATTATTAGGGTATCTAATACTATTTACAAGTTTAAGCTTTCTAAAAAGCTGTGGACTGCTTCGCTCTATCCTAATTTAAGGTAATATGTGTGCATGTGGTTGTTGATTTAGTATTGGAAATGTGGTATTTTTTAGATATTGATTGATATAAAATGGATTTACTTTAAGAGTGTGCGTTATACACCCATGCTTTTAAAATTTTGTTCACTTTACTTGTTGAAAATTAAAACATAGACAAATAGACACGACTCTGGAGGTGTGCCTAGATTGGTAGAAGTTATAAAATACGTGATGCGAAGCAATTATGATTTTAAACTTATTTTACATGATTTCCAAAACCACAGTAGATACAGGTGACCGACACAGGCTCTTGAGAGCCTCTAGTTTGTTTGAATTAAAGTGAATTTTTACCAAGGACGGTTAATGCCTCCATAAGACAAGATAAGATAATTTTATCTTGGTTGGCCATCCTTTTTATTTAGCGAAACAAAGTAGGACAAAGTCTTATAATTTGTCTTTTAGTTTGGAATGGGGAATGCTTGTGTAAAGGATGGAAAAAGTCAAAGGTTTTAATACTATTGAAAGAGAAAAGAGACTTAGATTGCATGTTCTCAAACAGATTTTTGGAATTCTTAGTGTCCATATCTGATTCACGCCGCCCCTAGAGTATGTACTTTCACAATAAGTCCGACATTGATTGGTAATAAAATTGATATTAATAATATGGAAGACTTGGAAGAACCAGTAATATAATGTTAAGTAATTTAGGTATCCAATACAGTGAAAGAAGATCTAAATCTTCATCTTTGGTTGAAATTTCAAAGGATCATAGAACAGACGTCGCTGAACTAGTATACATTATTATTTAGAGACCAATTGAAGCCCGCGTCTGGGTGTGGGATTTTTTTTCGCTACGTTGATGACCCGTTGGTAGCCTTGTGCTGTTTTCTGCTCTTTGTTGTCTCTTTATCACGTTCTCCGTTTCCATTCTCTATTCCATTATGTTTATTCAAGATTTCCTCCTGTGTGAATGTAGAATACAAAATCTTTTCATAGAAACTCAAAACTCTTTAATTTTGGTATCACAGACAAGTAAAAAGCTGGAACTTCCAAATGATTCTCCCTGAAAGCACATTCATTGATGAAAAACATTTATATTGCAAGGGTTCAAAAAATTAGAGGAACCAATAAACTTGTTTAATTTTTGAATGCTATTTTTTCGCTTGGTAAATGCGACATTTTTACATTTGACCTGTTAACCCAAACAATCAGAATACTTCGTCTCCTTCCCGATATATCATCCATCTTTAAAAGTTTCATTCTAAAACTCAACCTACAATCCGGAAATCTTTTTATCATTTTTATCTTCTTATTTTAGTAATAGTAATCTTGATTTTGGGCCTAAAAAAATCAGTAGGCTTTTCCCTCTCCTATATGTTTTATCTATATAAGTTTCATTCAAATGGAGCAAGGGAAATTCAAGTAAAAATCCGGAAGCGTTTTGTTTCCAAAACGATTATATTTTAAAGACAGTGACCTTGACCTTTAAACCTATTGCTCCTAAAATTTCAAGTCGTCTCCTTTTTCCTATATCTTCAATCTGTATACGTTTCACTGGAATCAAGCAAAGGAAACTCAAGTTAGCATTCGCAAAACCTTTTCTCCGAAAGTTCTATTTTTAGTAACAGTGACCTTTACCTTTAACAAATTACGGGTTTTTTTCATTGACTTAGTTGTTTTTGAACACTGTATGTTGACCCACATATGTCTTTATTTTTGTGTGTCGTTGGTTTTCTGTGTAATTGGCATTGATCGTCTTGTTTCTGTATTAGTTTGTTTGTCTCTATAGATGTCTTTTCGTGATTTTCTTTTGTTATTGACGTATACTCTAATTTTATTGTATTGTTCATGATAGACATGTTCAGTTAATTTTTATTCCTTGTATTTTGTAAGATGATTGAATTATAAAAAGAATAATCAGTAATTTAGAGTTTAATTCATTTAAATTATTCTGATATTTCAGATGCAAACACCATCACTTCTGACAATTGGAGATATTCCTTGCCTATGATGGTCACTTTGACATAACGACCACTCATTTGCTGTTTGCAATGGAATACAAGATGCTCCCTAGTCTTTCCTGGACCTTTATAGTGTGCACATAAGGACAATTCTTCCAAGGTTGGCCCAACTGTGACATCCACGTCATGGAGACGTTGACCTGTTCAAACATTTAAAAAAATAACTAACAGATGGATAAAATACGTATTATATGCTTATAAATTTTTGATTTCGGCCTATACAGGTTTTTATATAGGTTAAATCCTCATATTTTCAACATCTCGAGTTATTCGATCAGTGTAATTTCTCGATGTTCTACTATATGTTCTATATCATTTGGTTTGAAAATATGTACTTCAGTCTCAGGACCTACATGTTGCTGATGTCTAAATGATAGTTTGTACTTCAGTCTTAGTACCTACGTGTTCCTGGTGTCTAAATAATAGTTCAGCATTTTATCCCGCCGTCATCCCTAGTCTTTTGATTCAGCGAGGCCCCTCTTAACTTTGTAGATCGAAAGTCGTCCTCCAATGTCTAGAATTGTAAAATGCTTCTTTTGTGGTGTATTTACGGTGGACTATAATTGATTGTATCCACTTCATTTGAACTTGGCAGTCATACCAAATCTCCGTATTTTCATACTATATGTAAATGACGAGGACCGATCCCCCAATGGTGTGTTGCTAAATCTTAAGGATAAACCTAACTGCGGAACCGTAGCTCTTAGGTCCTTA